CTACCCTAACACTACATACTCTACCTAACCTACACCTACACTACCCTACCCTAATCTACACTACACTACCCTAACCTGCACCTGCTCTACCCTAATCTAACTACCCTACACTACTACCCTAATCTACTACCCTACTCTACCCTAATCTACACTACCCCTAACGTACACTACTCTAATCCTAATCTACCCTAACTACTACTACTAAAACACCTAAATCTACAACTACTCTACACTACTCTACATTCTAATCTACACTACCTAACCTACTGCTCTAACCCTAATCTACTAACTACACTACCTAACCTACACTACTACCCTAATCTACACTACACAACTCTACAACCCTAATCTACTACTAACTACCCTAATTTTCTACTACTCTAACCTAACTAAACTCCCCTAACCTACACTACTACTACCCTAATCTACACTACACTACATCTAATCTACACTACACCTACTCTACCCTAACCTACACTACTCTACCCATAATCTACACTACTCTACCCTAATCTACACTACACTACTCTACCCTACATCTACTCTCTACCTCTAATCTACCCCACTACACTACCCTACCTAAACCTTACACTCTAAATACAACCCTACACTTTTTCTACTCTACCCTAATCTACTCCACTACTCTACTTCTAATCTACTACTACACTACTCTACCCTAACCTACTACTCTACCCTAATCTACACTAACTACTTACCCTAATTCTACACTACACTACTCTACCCTAATCTACACTACTCTACCCTAACCTACACTACCATAACTCACAACTCCACTACTACTACTATACCTACACTACACTACTCTACCCTAATAACTACCTAATCTACTTCCTACTCTACTAATCTATACTCTCCCTACACCCAACAACTACCCTACCCTAACCTACACTACTCTACCCTAACCTACCCTACTCTACCCTAACTACACTACCTACCCTAACCTACACTACACTACCCTAACTGCACTGCTCTACACTAGTCTACCCTAATCACTACACTACTTTACCCTACCTACACTACCCTAACCTACACTACTCTACCCTAAACCTACTACTCTCTACACCTCCTACATCTACCTAACTCTACCTCTCTCTACACTACTCTACCTAAACCTACCACTACTACCTACTCTACCCTACCCTAACCTACACTACTCTACTAACATCTACACTACTCTACCCTAACCTACTCTACTCTACCCTATACCTACACTACAACTACTACCCTAATCTACACTACTCTACCCTACCCTACACTACACTACTCTACCCTAACCTAGACACTACACTACTCTACCCTAACTAACACTACCTACTACACTACTAACTACTAACTCTACACTACACTACTACCCTACCACACTCCAACTACTCCCTAAACCTTACCCTACACTTACAATAACCTAATCCTAATACTACTACTAAACCTAACCTACACTACTCTACCCTAACCTACACTACTCTACCCTAATCTACACTACACTACCTTAATCTACAACTACCTCTAAACCTAATCTACACTACTCTACTCTACCCTAATCTAAACTACATTACTCTACCCTAACCTACACACTACTCTACCCTAACCTACACTACTCTACCCTAAGCTACACTACACTACTCTACCCTAATCTACACTACACTAGTCTACCCTAACCTACACTACTCTTACTCTACCCTAATCTACACTACTCTACCCTAATCTACACTACTCTACCCTAACCTACACTACACTACCCTAACCTACACTACTCTAACCAAATCTACACTACACTACTCTACCCTAATCTACACTACACTACTCTACCCTGACTACACTACTCTACCTAAACCTACACTACTCTACCCTAATCTACACTACACTACCCTAATCTACACTACTACTACACTGCACTACCCTAATCTACATTACTCTACACTACTCTACCCTAACCTACACTACTCTACCCTAAGCTACACTACACTACTCTACCCTAATCTACACTACACTAGTCTACCCCTAAATACACTACTCTACTGTACCCCTAACCTACACTACTCTACCCTAATCTACACTACTTACTAACTCCTAACTACCTTCCTAACACTACCCTACCTAAACTACCCTAACTAACTACACTACACTACTAAACCCTAATCTACCTACTACACTACTCTACTACCTACCTACACTACTCTACCCTAACCTACACTACTCTACCCTAACCTACACTACACCTACACTACTCTAACTAACACTACACTAACACTACCCTAATCCTACAAACCTACTCTACCCTTACCTACACTACTCTCCCTAACTACACTACTCTAACTCTAACCTACATATTTAACACTAATCACCACAACTCTACCCTAATCCTCTATACACCTACACTACACTACTCTAACCCTAAAACATACACTACTCTAAAACTATCCACTACTCTAAAACCTACACTACACTACTCTAAACCCTAACTCTACACTACACTATCTACCCTAACCTACACCTACCCTAATCTACCCTAAGGTTTTAAACACAACCTAACCTAATCCCTAATCACATCTAAACTACTACTACCCTAAACTAACCTACACCTACTACCTACCTAACTACAAACCTAACTAAACTCTACACTTACTACCTACCTTTTTTAACTACAATACTCTACCCTAACCCTCTACACTACCTAAACCCCACTTTACCTAACTACTCTAAAACTAAACCTACTCTAACACCCTAACCTACACCACACTACCACTAATTTTTTTCTTTGTCACAAACACTTACTACCACCCTACCTAACACTAATTTACTCTTTACCTTAAAAATCACTTTTTATACACCTACACCTAACACTACACTAACCCCACACTCTCTTTTTTAACCTACAATTTTTCTAACAATTGGTTGACAGTTCAAAAAACACCAAACCACACTCATGTTTCCCCAAACCCACACCCCGTTTAACCTACTACCACATATTTGAATTTTTTATTTTTTCCCATGTTATTAAACCAAATTTTTTATTTTTAACATATTTTGTTTTTTTTTTTTTTTGGTGTGGGGTTTTTGGGGGGGGTGGTTTTTGATGGGTTTTTTTTTATTATTGGTGTTTTGGTATGTGTTTGTTTTTTGGGGTTTTTTTTTGGTGGTTTGTTTTTTGTTTAAGGCAAGTAGTATACCTGGAGGGAGCCCATTTCTCCCAATAGAAGCCCAAGCAGGAGCATATGGCACCCTGAAGGCCTACAATGTGTCTCCACAGACCTAAATCCTAGTGACAACAAATCTATAAAAAAAAATAATTATAAACAATCCCAATTTATAACTAGCCTCATGTGAAGGTTGCACATGGTGGGCAAATGGCTACAGTTCAAAACGTAAAATTTCCCAGCACACTTTACCAGCTAGCTTGAAAAAAAACATCGACTCAACCTAATCTAATTACATACATTAAAAAACAGAAGGATTTTTGTTGCAGACATTTGCACTATGTATGTGGAAGACTTGCACTGCCTCACACTAGGCTCTCTGTACCCTATGCGGTCGCAACTCATAATGTGAGAGTTCTCCTAACCTGTGAGCATCACACAGCTAATAAAAAAATGGACTAAAAGGAACAACTCATACTTTATGTTTCTGCAACAATCCTGTCCTGCATCTTCTCATCTCTATTGGCTGGCACGAGATGACATCACTTTTGCGCATGCACAGGAGCTAGTCATTTCTGACACACAGGGACTGGCCGGAGCCATAGGCTGAGCTGTGCAAGTGCAGATCAGGTTACAGAGCTAGAGATGACATCGAGCAGGCAGGTAGGGGCATTTAATGCTTGCCATCCAGCCACTGTGGAAAAAAAAACTGCACAAGGTGGCACCCGCTGGGCAAAATCAATTTAAAACGGGATATTGCAAAACAAGTAGGGGGTGTGCCACACGAGGCACGCAACGCTTTACCGTGCTGAATTAAACGGCCAGCAGTTTCGTACTTTTCCAGGGCCAGCTTTGACCATCACTCTCTAAAAACAGTGACCTGTTGTGTAAAAGAATGATGGGTTGACCACGCTATGGGAAAACCACGCTTTAGGGCGAAACAGGGCCTGCTGTCTATCCTCCGTAAAGGTGTATACAACTTCTTCCCCGTTTTACAGTCAAGCATGCACACACAGACGGGACCAGCAGTAAGAGCTTTGTAGTATTTTGAGGTGGGAGTTTACTAAAAAGGGAGAAGATACAGGATATCTGGAGCCACTGAGTATGGCAAACACCACTCAGCTCCTTTTGTCAACTTCAAACCTTCACTCAACAAGCTGAAGTGAGAAGCTGATTGCTTATGATGCACAACTACTCTGGATCCTGTCTGCACCCTTTTAAGTAATTCCCCTCGAGGTAGCCCAAGGAGGACTGTCTACAAGCTCTCTTTTGGCCCATCGCACAGTAAGTCAATGAACTTTTTTTTGTGGCTGACAGGTACTCTTTAATGAAACATCTGATCTCTCCCCTGTGCTCCATTAATGGAATCCAGTGCAGATCGCATTGCATTAGTCTTTTCCCTACCATACTGGGTATATTGTCAGATATAAGAACCGCCCCCATCCCCATCAGACCTGGCAGTGAAAGGGTTAATGGTGTCCAGTATGTCCCCCACACCGAATCAGTGAACAAGCTATACAGGAATTTGAAGCCACTTCAATTAATAACTAGGTTTTGAAAGTAAGGTGCACCATGGGTTGAGGGCATTGAACAGTACAAACAAACTGAAATTTCCCAGCACGGCGTTACCAGCTATGCCTGAAAACCAAACCACCAATTTGACCCTAAAATATTACCGGTATTTTTCGCTCCATAAGACGCACCTTTTTTCCCCCCAAATAAGGGGGGGGGGGGAAATGTCATTTGATTTCTTTCTGTGCGTCTTATCGGAGTGACTAAATATAATGCGGGCCGGTCCGGTATTTTTGCGGCCACCATGGTCAGATTACCGGGCCGGTCGCTCAGCTGTTGTCTTCATGCAGGGCCTTACCTGTTCCTCGCTCCAGCGCTTCACAGTCTTTCCCGAGCTGGCTTTCTGTGACAGCCGGGATTGCCACTGACGCATGTGGCTGTACGCTTTGTGAATGATCGGTGTTTCTGGGACCCCAGTTCTTTGGTCTTTCCTGACTGTTCCCCCGTTTGGTCATTCCCCCCATGTTCCCCCAGTTTTGGTATCCCTGCACTGTGTCGCAGTCCTGGTCATCCCTTTTCTGTTGTCCGCAGTCTCTGGTCATCCCCTGCATGTGTCCGCAGTCTCTGGTCATCCCTGCATGTTTCCCCAGTCTCTGGTCATCCCTGCCTGTGCCCCCCGGGCTTCTGGTCATCCCCGACTGTGGTTTTTTCAGTCATTGGGTTAGAATATTTTTTTTTTTTTTTGTTTTTCACCTCTAAACCTAGGGCTTTATGGGCAAAAAAAAACGGTAATTACAAAAAAAAGGGGGGTTTTTGTTGTACAATATGTGGAAGCGCACTGCCCCCGCATCTTTCCTGTGTCAGGTTTTCGTTGGTCAGCTTGGGATGAGGTAGTCATTCTGGCATTTCAGAGACAGGCCCGTGTGTAAGCTGAGTGGTATGTGCAGCTAGGGGGAAGGAACGGGGTGAGG